GATCAGGCATCCGCTGATATTGTTCGTGCCCAACTTAAAGATCTAAGTCATAGGATCCAGACGACCTTACAACCTGTATTTGTTAGCCAGAAGATTGGTCGAGACCTCAAATTGCGAGAAGCTAAGCCGCCGATTGTGAACCAACAGTGCCTTGTTTACAAATTTCAATGTGACCTGTGCGATGCAGGTTATGTTGGTTTCACACGCCGTCATCTACACCAACGTATTGAAGAACATAAAAACTCCTCTTCGTCAATTGGCAAACATTTTCGCGACAAACATTCTTTGACTCCAAAGGATCTTACAAAGAACTTTAGCACCTTAATGAAGTGCACGAACAAATTTGACTGTCTCGTCTATGAGATGTTTTTTATTCACAAGCTAAGACCTGCTCTCAATGTACAGTCTGATTCAATTCGTGCTAAGGTTTTTAATTAGCTTTTTACTAGCACTTTCTTTGTAGTTTTATTGTTTGTTTACACCTGCAAAAATTTTTTATATTTCTTACGTGTCTATATACATATATTTACTGTATTTCATTCCATTCACTTGACAATGACCGAAGCACGGTCGAAACGTCGTGTTTTACCGTTGATTTTTATCGTGAAACGATTATTATTATTATTATTATTACTATTATTATTATCATTATTATTTTGGCGCGCACAGAAAGCTGCGTAAGCGTCAGCGCCAGTTGCACGACATTCCTGCTTGGCCCGAGCGATGAAATAACTTCACGGGATTGGCAAAGTTTCAGTCACAGCAAATTATACAAAAAATCTAGAAAGATTTAACTTACATCTCGTTTAATGTTTAAAGCGACATATCAACGACCTGCAACCATCGTGTTTTATACGAACCTGACAAACTTTTAAACGCGTTCTTTTGTGATACCCACGAAAGTATTCAGTATAATTTCCGGTGAGATTTTTGCGGACAATCTGACCGATTTCTCTTACATTGTGTGCTGAGACTGAAACTTTTCACCTCGAGCAAAGCTCCGTCGTACGGCCCAAACAAACATGGCGTGCAACTAAGCTTCTTGTATATGTCCGTGTTAAAACACGCGAAAGGCCTCTAAAGCACACTTCACTCTGATTGGGAAGAAAAACACAAAGATTTTCTGGCACCAATCAGATGCCAGAACGACTGCGACCGTTTGGAACTAGTGTTGTAAGACAATGTCCCCAGGGGCTCTTCTGCCCTGACTTGAAATCGACTCCCAGCCCCTGAGTCTCCGAGGATGCATTTTGAACGGGGTTATGGCGAAACCAGGAAGAAATCAAGCGACCCAACGACGGAGTAATATTTGGGTCTACAGATTGTGACAATTGTCGAAATAAAAAGCTGTTTCGATGCCTTTCAAAGTCTCCGGTCGACTTGCGGACCGAACGAGAAACAAGAAAATGGAACTCCTGATCCTGCTCAATTTAATTTTTTTCAGGTGACTTCACGTGAAATTTAAGACTTGGGTAAGACTCATCCAAAAATCATGACATCTATTGCGTTTTTCCCGTCAAAATAACGTTTCGCACGCGCCCATTGTCTCAATAAGTTGGAAAATCTTACTCTAGGTCGTACCTGTCTTAGAATGTCGATAAGAAAGCGACAAGATTGAAGTCACTTCTCTTAATTAAGATCCATTAACACTACAAATTGGCTTATGATTTCGTCAATTCTTTCAGAAACTAAAATTAAAAGAATGGTGATTGGTCGCGCAAAAGGAGAGCGCACAACAGAGTTTTTTTTTCTCTAAAACTCCTAATCAGACTCGGGCTTCGATCAGTCTATTTTGGATCGAAAGAGTCTTAGGTTTTTTTCATGAAGCGTAAATTCAGCATTTCTTCTCTCTAACTGACCTTGAGAGCTGCTTAACATTAGATTAACGCTTGTGAATATATGGCTAATAGCTTATGCAGGTATTTCTGGTGGCAATTGACTCATAGCGCTGACAGAGCACATGGAAGTTGAAAACATTACTGGTGTCGCAGGTCCAACCCACAGTTCAAACATATCTGTAAGGTTACGCTCAGAAACGTGTGCAACAACCTTTATTGCATACAGGGTCAAAACATTGAAAGACGTACGTTGTAGTTCACTTCTCTACAAACGGAGAAAAAATGAAGTTTTCCATTGCTTTGATCGCAGTTTTTGTTACTCTTGCTGTATCGTTAGTGACCCAAAAAGAGCCTTTAGTCGAGGAACTGACAGAAAATACCTTCGATAATTACCTAACGGTTTCAAACCTTGCAATCGTGGATTTCTTTGCGCCGTGGTAAGTAAAGTAGTGTGTTATCTTCAATATTTTATTGCAGTTTTTTTTTTTTAATTCCATATCTGACTGCGATAAAATCGTGATAGAAATTTGCCAACATTACATTCAACGAGAGTAAATTCGCAATCACAAAGTTCTACAAAGTTCAGCGCGCCTTATAAATCAATATTGTTGTGTAAGTTCGCAAGTGATAAGATTCGTTTGGGTTTATCAGTGAACCATAGCTGTTCATCATTCGCCTGTCCCGCCCAAAATATGGAAAGATTTAGCTGAGCATGGCAACGCTCGAGGGTTTCAAATGGGCACTTTTGAAATATTAAATTTCCCATATTAGATTTTCTTGCCAAAAGGCGAAATAGCTCGCTGTTATTAAATCAAATATTCCTTGGAATTCAAGAACCGAACTGAATAAGTTGTAGTCGTGTTCTAAGTTACAACGCTAAAGTAAGGACTAAAACTGTATAAGCGGTCCTGTTGAAAAACAAGAGTCCATGAAATTTCAACACCTGACCAACTACTATAAATACATAATAGCGAAACAGCCTTACGTTTGAGAGGACAAGTATTATAAAGCTGTCACATCTGTTCCGATAGAACAAGCTATATTCTGAAGAGTTTCAGTTTAAATTTTTCATTTGACACGCGATCTGCGACCTGAGACGATTAAATTCTCTTATCTGGGACCGCGCTTACTTGTTGGAAACCAGAACAGGATCACGGCAAAACACTTTATGACAATGAACTGCGAATTGTGTCATCGGTCCAGCGAGTTGGCAGTCGAGGAAGCAAATACTTATGCCAGAAGTTAATCAGTCGTTAATTAACCGGCTGCCCAGTAAATATTGATAATCATGATAATTGGAAAGAATTATACTCTTAGCTTTTTATGTTGTGGTCTCCTTTATTGGTTCATTTTGGTATGACTGAATAGGGGCTAACCCGAAGGAAGGGTCTGGGGGGGATCGCGGGTTTTTTTCTATTACCTTAATGCATGACTTCAATGTTCTTGCAATGACGTACCATATAATATTGCATTTATTACTCGCTCAACTAGGTTAATTATTACTAGTTATTATTTCATCCATTTTGTGTTTGCGAAATTAGGATCAAAGGAGGGAGATGGCGCAATTTTATTCAGTGAGAAGTAATTTTAGACTCCCTATAAAAATTCCTGGGTCCACCCTTGCAGAATAACATCCATTATTACACGACTCGGGCAGTCAGAGGGCCAATAACTAAAATCAACCAATCAAAATGCTCTATTGACGGTCAATATTCTCTCAGTGTTGGACCGGGCACTGTCCCGAATGGTCCCGAATGATACCGCACTTGTGTCCCTTTGAACTTCAGTCGTATAATAAATCTCTTATTAGCCAAGCTTGCTCGGGACCGTACTGGAAGAATATCGGCCCTAGGTCTTTTTTGTACGGACCTCGCTGCGCTCGGTCCGTACTGTCAAGACCTCGGGCCGATATTCTCCCAGTACGGCCCTCGCGGTTGGTTAATAAGATATATATATTGACATTTTATTCATATTCGGGGTCCTTCCGCTGCTAAAGACGGACCTAAGAGGAGATGAACGTTTTAAATGTACATTACGGAGGGATTATAAAATGTTTATATAAAATCAATTTATCTTCCTATTCGCAGGTGTCCACACTGTAAATCCTTTACGCCTGAATATGAACAAGCCGCTTCAAAGGCACAGGCCGAAAAGCTGAATGCTTTTTTCGCAAAGGTACGTATTTTCAGGCTATTTTTTAAATCCTATGTTAAGCCATAATTAACATTTGGAAACCGGTAAGAAAGATAGAAGTGGAAGGGAATTAAAATGAAAGGAAGTACTTACCCATGGGGGGTTCCCTGTGCGTGTCTAGCATTTCGTGCGTGTCTCGCTCCTCGCCCGTGTCTCACTCCTCGCGCTCATCTCGCGCTCATCTCGCGCTCATCTCGCGCTTTCTTCCGCTCGTCTGTAGATGGCAAAACACAAAAATGACGCTTCCTAAACAGGCTGGTTAGACTGAACGGTGGAAATCAAACCTCTCCGTCGCAGTAATACTCTTTTAGAATGACTGATATTAGGGTTTCAGTTAATAAATTATTTAAAGAAGGCCCAGTAAGTCCCCTTCTTCAAAATTTCGTAAAAAAGAGGGGGGGGTACCCAAACAGGTGTTGGAACGTAATCGAAAAGTTAAGTAAGCAAGTAAACAAAAAGGACGAAGGCAATTGGGACAGTAGGTGGATATAAAGTTCGAACTGAGTTTTATGTAGTGCCTATTATATCCATCTTATTTTCGGCTATGTTTTCGAATAATGTATTCCAATAAAATAGTACTTGAATATACTACTTATCATTGGGCACAATTTTTTGCCCCCGATTTGTCACTTAAAAGAAAGTTGTATGTACCGGCTGTTTAGGTACAATTGTCATGTGCCATTCTTATGCACCATTTTTTATGTACCATTTTAAATAAGCCACTTTTCAAATTGCGGAGATCCAGCAAGACCGCGCTCTGGAATAAACCCTGTGTTTAGGATTTCAAAACTTTCTTGTTTTTATTGTTTTGTTTTTTTCCCTTACGATAGGTGGACTGTGCAGGAAGCGGTCAAAGCCTCTGTAAAAAATTGCATATCAGGTTTCTCCCTACAGTTAGACTGTTCAGAGATGGTAAACCGCTTGGAGATTACTCAGGAGAGAGAACTGCGGGTAATATGCCCTTAGTGGATTCTTCATTAAAGAAAATTTTTCATTTGATCATCGGCAATCGAGAAATCTATTGCAAGCTTGACAATTTCGGCAATTGGCAAAAGTTGAACTAACCATTGGTTATTTTCAGTCGTTTTAGCATGAACAGAGAAAAGAAGATTTTTTTGAGGGCATTTTCAATTTTATTGGGTTTTTTTTAGGATTATAGGAAGAAGGAAAGAAAAGGATCAGAGTTCATTATTTATCTTTTACTGACGCCTAAAACGTGATACCTAAACTGACCAATCATTGGAGATTCTGTGGCAAAGGTTTACATCACTTAGCTCTCTGATTGTTCTAGGAAAACCCGCGCTACCCTCGGCTCATCCAATCAGATGCTAAACTAAAACCATCCATGGCTTAGTCACTCGCGTTTTGCCCGTACTTTGAAAAAATCTGCTCTCTTCGCCCCTTATATGGAAATATCATTGCGGGTGATGCACAAATAGACTATTGACGATTCCAGTAATAGGGAATACTGAACCTGATCTGTAAAGAAATTCTCACCAGGAAACTGCACCTTCTGTCAAGAAGGCTAAATGGGGCACGGGTTATGTCAAAGTTTTATACATCTTAAAATATGTAACCTAAATTCTCAATATTTTTTCATTCACTGTTTAAAAACCAAGTCTAGCTTTTCGGCCTGCGCTTCAGACAGTTTGCTTGTGAATAGTTTGAGCTCTTTTTTTGTCCTCGTAGCGTTTTCTTTACTCTGATTGACGTTATAACTACTTTAGTTTTGATCTTACGACACTTGAACGACTGGAGCCCTAAAAAATCCATATTTGGTTTTTTCTTTCAGATGCCGTCCTACAGTTTATGCAGAAGGCAATAAAAGCACCAAATGACATGAAATTGACGATGTCCGATGACGTCAGCGAGACACCATCTAACGTCACGCCTTGGCACGCGGAAGACAAGAAGAGTCATTAAAAAAAATATATATATATATATTCTTAATTAGTTGCAATCTTGAGCAGAGCTGAGTTGAAAAGTGCCGAGTTCATATGAAGCGAGTGGCAACTCGCATGCAAAGGAAAGAGATACTGGCTTCGGGCAAGGAAGAGGGAAGCTTCCTCTTTGAACATAAATTCGGCGTGGCGAGCGGGCACCATGATGTGAAGACAAGATCACGCTAAGAACAATACCATTGTACTAACCTTGAAATTAAAATTACAGTTATCGTCCTTTTTATGTTTTTCACCACTATTTTTTTTCTTAAGATAAAACCAATAAGGAATAGCCCATTACCGATCATCTTTTTCGTCTTTTCTGAGCGCGTCAAGATACCCCGTTCTCCTGAGTGGAATGGCTACTCTACATCCTATGGAAATCCTGGGAAACACTATCCTTCTCCCCTCCCTAAAGTAAAAAAAAAGCTACATCCTATGGCACAACCCTCGGAATCACCATGTTCTTGGGTTCTTTACTTCCCCGAGTGGGATCGGCCTTCTAAAGTAAAACTCTGTGGGTAAGGGGTGAGCCACAGGATTACCATCGTATTCCTTCCAGGTTGAGTATGAGGGAGGTGAAGGCCGTTTTGCTTACAATAGATAAGACCGTGGAAATTTTAGAGCTTTGCTTTAAAAAAGGGATTTCTTGCTCATATCAATATTCTCTGTTCTCTTGATGTCGAGAAAAAATGGAAAGGTTTAGATGAAAGCAAAAGTCCTTTAAGTTGCAATTTGTGTGTTATCACATTTTTAACCCTTTCATACAATCATGGCCGTAACGGGAATGTTTTTCCATCGGAATTTCGACATATTTGGTCATAAAGTTTGCGTCTGGTGTTGTACTTCACAGTTGATCAATACAAATATCGAATTTTCATCAGATATCAGAAACACAAAATTTCAAATGACACGATGGTTAGTTAGTTGGTTAGCTCCATTAGGCTTATGATGAAATGACATCATGGGCCGTCTTTAGCGCTAACAATGTTTCTCATGAAATACCATCAACAGAGGATAGGTATTCGAAGACATCATCTCAAAAGTTTATAATTGAACAAAAAATTAGAAAGTGAGAAATGGGCATAAAGTTGATTTTTTTGCACGTATTACGGACCTAGCCCAAACAAACCTTTGCCGTATTCGAAGACTGGACTCTAGGAATCTTATTGAGAGCCAAAATGGCGACCTCCTTGGTGAAAGAGGTGGCAAAGCAGGAGCTTCCTCCAAAGGGTGGTTATCCTGCCATTGTGTACGCTAGGAATATACCAACTAGAGGCCCCTCTGGTATAGCATTATTTCTTGGCGGAGCAGCCGTGATGGCGTACGGATTTTATCGTGTTATCATGGGGAACCGTAAACGATGGTATGTATTTGTAGCTCGATTTGGTTATATCAACTTAGTTGAAATAGTAAGCTGACCACCGTAAAGAGTTAAAAAGCTGACGTTTCGAGCGTTAGCCCTTCGTCAGAGCACCCTATCGTGGTGCTGCAGGGCGCAGCACCACAGTTTCTTAAGAAACTTACCCCTTGTAGCCAGATTGCAGTGAAATATTGGCGTACTTGTATTGACTGGTTATTTGAGCCTTTGCTTTGTATTTCCTGACGGAATTAAAAAACGTTGTCATATCTCTAGTTATATTTGTGAGAATTATCGGCAGGAAGCGCTTCATTTATTCCATTTTGCTCTAACATTTTTTTAGTGAACTAAGGAAAGAGCAAATGGAAGCAAGGATTGGATTTCTCCCCCTGTTACAAGCAGAACACGACAGAAAGTATGTATCATTGAAAAAAACTTCCTATGGCCTTCATTGATAGGGAACCTTCCAGAGACAATGTTTCAAGTTAATTAGCCGAGGTTTCGGCTGTTGTGAAGTGTTCTAAAATCCAAATATGAGAATTAGGAGCCAACGTCTTCCTATCAATTTAAAGTGCACCTAAACCCCCAATTTTTTTTTTGCTTAACGAAATAGGCTTATTTTTTGGAGTATTTCTGTGCAAAATTTTTTTTGTATGAAGTGCGATACCCTCTTGCAAATTTTTCACGTTGCTACATCCTTCTACAACACACTTATCAGGCGTATTTTAGGCAGATTATCGACTACAACCTTCCCAAACAAGAGAAAATGTGTGAAATGCAGACTTTCGTGTTCTCGATTTGACGTCACATTACCCACTAGAGCCATTCCTCTTTAAACTCGGTCGTGGGGCAAGATGGCGGCCGATTTTCCGTATTTTGACTGGGCACAGAAAATTGAAGATTTGAGCAAATAAAAACATTTTTGCACAGAAATACTCCAAAAAAATATGCTTATTTTGTTAAGCGAAAAACATTTTTTGGGTTTAGGTGCACTTTAAATGACCAATTTAACCCTCCCTCTCTGGGGATCTCATGGGTAGTTCTCTTTACTGTCTGCGGTACAATTCTTAAGATGTTAATTTGAGAGAATTTGGTATTGGTACAGCTACCTCTTGAGTAATTAAGTAACAATGAGGGAAGAATTGTTTTCAGCTAAGATTTGAATGCAATTAGGCACTGCATTCATTGCCTTTCCATATGCAAGCTCTGTGACTGGTTTAGAAAATGTGCACCTCTCTCTTTATCAAGCACATGTAAATGTAAACACCAATCACAACTATTCCTGTTCCATGTCCCCATGCTTCATAACTTTTAACTACACATGATCCATCTACTTGGAGATCTGAATAAGGGAGTAAGTGTCTGCATCAGTGGGGGGAGTTACAAGAAGATTTGGTTACATTGACTGAGTTGATAATGAAAATTGACCACTATAAAGAGTTTCTACAGCTTAAGAAACTCTTTATGGTGACCATTTCACGTTATCAACCCAATCAACAGAACCAAATTAATTGGATATCCATTTAGTCCTTGAAACGTATTTCACCTTTATTTTGGTTTTACAACACTCATTGGCAATGTGCTGTTTTTCCCTGTTTAAAGTTGTTTAAGGCTGTTGAAAGAAAATGAAGAGCTTGAAGCCCAGATTATGAAAGATGTTCCTGACTGGAAAGTTGGTGAGAGCATATACCACACAGAAAAATGGGTTACACCCATGCCCATTCAAGTTGAAAAGCTTTAACATAGCATTCTTATATTTGGATGTACTTGTGTAAAAGTTTCTTTGTATGTACTCTAACTTTGGCGCGTGTTATTTTTATAGTCAATGATGAATCTGTGACATGTTGTGAAGGAATGTTTTTAGATCAGGTTTTAAGAGAGATGTAGGTCCATTAACTTTCTGCTCAGTTCATTTGTTGTGAGTTAAGAGAGTCTTGGGGGTGAATAATCTAAACTGCTGTTTACATGCTCTTGTGAAAATTCTCAGATTGTCTGTTGCAATTACATATAAGTTATCACAGTAAAGTTGAAATTGCAAGTGACTATTCAAATAATAGAGGTATGGTTTTTCTTTGTAGTTGCCTTGAAATTTGCCTGATCGGAAATAAATGTTGTTCACGACCACAATGCTTTGTTTGGTATATGAATATAAAATTTGTTTCTTGGGGGCTATGGCCTGGGAGTAATCTGTTACTATCTTACATTACTTAAAGGAATCTTTAGAAATAAATAATGTCATTGGGATTCAAAGTGACAAAGATCCTGCCAAGGTGCAAAGTAAACTGTTCTTCAGGCCAATGTCTAATCTATCATAAATTTAACTGTTGGAAGTATGTGAAAATATCACAAACGTTCAAAGATATTATGGTAGGGGACAACTTTTCTTTACAATGGTTTGCTTCTGATACCTTCTTCTGATGTCACATGTGGGTTAAATTTCCTTGACAAAAACCAACAGTTACTTGCTAAATTTTATTTTTTAAAACCAATTAGTTTGGAATCAGTGGGGATAGACCCCACTCATATAACTGACATTAGTAAATCAGTTTTATTTAGCCACAAAATCAACTGAGTTACCTGATATTTTCCACACAAAAAAAGAGATTTACACAATCAAAATACAGACTTATTGCTCTAATCACAACTAAAAAGATTCCTATATTTAAACATAAGTGTTTAATGTTCCTAGTGGAATGGAACTTCGTTGTAGTCTTCCAGAATCAACACTTCTTCTTGATGTCTTCTTTGGTGTGTATGTTCTTTGGTGAGTTGTGCTGAACTCTCTCTCCCCTGGGATTGGAGGTTGTATATGAGACTTTTTAAGCTGTTAAAAAAAGGAGGTACATGAAGACAAATTGAATGTAACTTGTCCTAATAAATAAGCTTGCTCATATTCATTACGTTACAGGGAGCAGGAGTGGTGCAGCCTCTCACTGGTGCAGCCTCTCACTGGTGTGGCCCTGGTCTGATTTGCAGATCAGACATCACATGTGGGTCAAAGTTGTTACTGATTGTCATTCTTGCTCCACGGGTTTTCTCTAGGTTCAAATAAGATCTAATATCCCAAATTCCAATTCTACCTGGAAACAGTGGACATGAAAAGCCACCTTGTGGAGTGTCCACTACTGAATTCCCAAGGTGATGATGGTGATTAATATTTTTATTATTATTATTATTATTATTGTAATTATAAATAATTTTTTTGGTGGATTAAGATTCTTGTACTTACATTATCAACTGCCAGGGGATTGGGAATAAGTTTGGGGACTCCAGCACGAGATGGGAAATCACTCCAGCTTGTTGGCATGGTAATGGGTGCACCACCTAAGAAAGGGAAACAGGCAATAGAATAGAATTAAAACTGCTGCTTATGTTTGTTCACTGTTTGCTGCTAAAAAAATTTGGGATGATATAAAAATTCAAAGTATGTGGACTTGCATTATCTTTTAGTGACCTACCTAGGAGCCTTTTAGCTATCACTAAAGTGATTCCCAATAATGTTGTTTTGAGGAATTTGGAAAGCATTACGTACTAAAAAATGTCTATCCCTTGGAGCCCAGTTATTCAAGGCTGGATTACACTATCCAAAGACTTAATTGCCATCCATAAGTTAGTTGTTAACATAACCTACAGCACTGGTGCAATAGTTGGTAGGCCATTCACTGTCTCCTCTGGGTTGTGATTAGCATGTAACTTCTCGCAATAATATTGATACTTTTTCAGGTAAAAGTTGTCATTTTGATCAAACACCAAATTCTTGTCACTAATTTTCAATGAAATGTCTAGCGGCTAGAGTGGAGAATTAAGAATTAAATCTTGGGAATTAGAGGGTTAACAACGTGGCTGCTTACAAGTTGTATTAATTAATGTCACAGTATTCAACAACCTAAGGTGTACACAATATTTTATTGATTGTTCCCATTCCTTAAGACAAAAACTCACTGTAATAGTCAAGGGGAATACTGCTACTTGTAGGCATGCCTGGATCAGCTTTCTTGTATGGAGCTGTTACTGCTGTGAAGTCAGATTTCATTGAAGTTTCATAGAAATGTGCACCTCTAGCAGCACCCAGATCTACATGCGATTCAGTTCTGAGATGGGAACCGTCAACTATTTTATTTCTGAGTCCAACAGCTGGTTTTCCATAGAAGATGTCATTGGTAGTTACACTGACTCGCTCATGGGCTCGTAGAGGATCTCTGTCTCCCTCAGGAAAGCTGCTTTTTCCCATGTCAAGGTTGGAAGACAAGTTCTTGTCTGTGGCAATTTGGATCACAAAGACTATATCAATAAACTTGTGGAATACCAACTTGTATGACTCTTTTATATCATTACTGATAACATTTTGGTAACGTCAGAACACAGTTGGTGTTATGTCTTATCCTTTCTACAGGATTGCCCTATGGGAATTTTGGTGTGTGGCAGTGTGTTTGTATGAAAATGAATGTTATGAAATTTATTGAAAAACATTTGTGAATAATCATAAAGTTTAATTTGTTGTTTGTTTTGATTAGAGAGAGTTGACACTTGGCGAGAGGCCATCAGGAATATAATATTGCTCCTCCCTCCCCTTCCCTCATGAATGGGATGCCAGTCCATTGCATGGCTACCCCAGGCTTTCCTAACATAATAGTGGTACCTGTAGGTCTAGTAAGTCTGGTTAAAAGTATTGAATCCAGGAACTAATCTTTCTTGAGTCAAAGATGGGCAAGGCTACCTGTCATAAGGCGTACAGGGTATGACTCAGCTGCTGTGGTTCCCAGGTGACCAGGAACACGTCTGTCACCCAATTTGAAGGTACTTCTACGCAGTTTATCGACAGCCTCTTCCCTGTCAAAAGTAGTGAAATCTTTGAAAGTGGGCCTTTGGAAAGATTCCTGTTGGGTTGAGGTAGAGTAATTGCACTTTTCCTGATCCCCCTGGGGAATACTTGATCCCCTATCCTGCAATAAAAAAAAATACAATTATAACACAGATGATGAGAATGGATTTTATACCTCTCAGCTACTTTAAGGGTGTTGTAATCTTAGTAAAACACGAATTTTAAATTGGGTTTGACTGGCATCTACAGTTTTCACCTTCCAGTGTCACTCCAGAATGAAACATTAAGGTCATGACAAAAGAGGAAATGACTGCAGACCTTATGAAGCCCCTTCTTAGCACTAAAGGAAATATTCAGAGGATGGTATGGACAAAATGAGTACAAAATTGTGATGTAAAGAGAAAAAACTCTGCCTGGATCCACCACTGTTGTTATCAAGAGTTACTGTTCTCATTAATTCACCCTCAAGGCAGGATTCAAAAGCTGCTGCTTTGGCAGATAACGACCAACAAATTCTGACTTGGTGGTTGTGGTGAATTGCCCCATGTGGTGAGTTCTTGCATCCCCAGTAATAGTCCGTGGTCCTTCATTTTTTTCAATGGGTGCCAGCACATCTCTTTTACCAATCTGCTTCCCTAAGAACTTACTACGGTAGTCTGAATGTGGCCAAAGCTCCTTCTCTTTATCACCTAAATGAGGTAAGGTAGGGTTAGGTCCTAACAGCTAAGGATTCAAATGACAAGAAGTTTCCCAGTTTCTGCACCATGAGCACTGCTTTTATCTTTAGAAAGCATGTATGTGCATCCCCAGTTCCCTCCTCCCCTGGGCACTTCTTCAGGTTTCTTCATCAGTTTGCCTCTTCATTTTGTAATGGGGTAATGGGGGAAGGGAGGGGGGGAATGTGAGGAAAATAACTTGGCCAAGAAATCAATACAATGGGCTAACCAGGATTGTTTTAAACATCAGGATTAAGGGTTTGTATCGGAGGGGAGAGTGAATGTGATTTGAAATTGCATTGAAAGCTTTGAATATGGAAATTATTTATGATTGCAAATAACAAGGAAGTTTGGTTTGAATATTGGGATGGAAAGACCAAAGAGATTGAACATACATTGAGTAGGACAAAAATTAATTGTCCAGGGAGTGTCAATTGCTGATTGGTTTGTTAAGTGGGTAAGAAAAACATACCTTGAGGAATGTAGCTTCGCATCCACTCCTTTTTCCCTGTGGCAGCTGGGTTCCTTGCCTCATCAAGAGGCCGAACTGGATAATACTCTTTGTGAGTTGTCTGAAATGACTTTAGCTGTCTGTCAGAATCCATTTTAAAATTGGTTCTTGCCAACATAGATGTAGAGTTAGCATAGTTTTGTTTCTCCGGTTTTTTTTCAACAAAGTGCCCTCTCGTCATAGAACACTTATCATTATAGCGTTCATCTTTGTGCATGACTGTAGCAGGAGCTGGTGAAGGTATGCGCTCCCGTTTAGTCAAAGGGAGAGGAGGGTAGTCCTTTTTAAATGTGCTCTTGTACACAAGTGGGTCCTTGTTAGGAGCCCACCGATCTTCATGGCTGATCGTAAAATGCGAAGCAACTAAGAATTCTGCGCCCGATTTTTGAGCGGGTATCTTGTTTATCAACTCTGTCATGTTCCTGCGATCTTAAAATGACAGATTTCACCTGCGGGCATAAAGTGAATCATTGAATCAGCCGTATGAAAATTAATTATCTAGTCAACGACATCTTGAAACTGATTTAAAGAACGTTAAAACTCGCTTTATATTCTTGATCAAGTGATTCGATTAGTCAAACAAAATTAAACACACTGGATCCGCCAGGCCAACCCTTATCTGTAAACAAATTTAAGATCAAGCATTTGTCGCTTCCCTTCAATACTTTGACTGACTGTTAAGAATTCAAGATGAAGTCAAGGGATGCATTTCTCTTTTGTATTCTTGTTTTCAATAGATAGGATCATCACTGGTTATATTTCTGGGATTTGGTGTATGAAGTCTCTTGACTACTAAAAGAGACATAAACATCAGCTGCGCAAATGAACGCCGCTACAAAACAAACACTTAATGTCACCTTGTCGTTTTTCTAAAATCAATCGATTTTAAGTTAAACATTTTAGAATCAAAAGTTACCTGCTCGAAGCAAACGACGGCCTGGATACCGTGGAAAAATAGTTGGTCTTTACATTTCACGAATCAAACTCTCGAATCTCTATCAGTCCCCTTTGATTTTTTCGTTGCTATGACAACAATGCCACCTTCGGTGACATAACCTCGCTATCAAGAAACATTTGACAAATTAAACGATTATAATTGTAAAGAATAACAGAAATGGTAACTTTTGAGCTCGGTAAAGAAATATAGAAAGATGTTTTTCGTCTAGTCACGAGCGTGGCACAAAGAAAAAATTCTGAGTTCCTAGTAATGACATCAAGATCACTCCATTCAGGGAGATATCAAATGGAAAGGCTAAAGGGAAGATCAGGGTGATATAGCACTCAGAGCTCCCTAATGGGACCTTGGCAATGAAATTGTTGAAATAATTATGATTCTTTGGGCGTGACAGGCACCTTCAGCCTGTTCAGTGTTCAAACTATTGAGCACCTGGAAATCTCTTATCACACATGGCAAGATTTCCACACAGTCCCATACTTCATATGCTTACAGTTCTTGGATAAAGAAAGCTATTGCAAAAACAATAGATTGCCTTTGAGAATACATTTTACAGCTTTGTTTTTTAATGGTTTGGGGCTGTACCAAAATCTTTCCCCAATTTTGCTTGCATACCCATGTCTTAACACAAGCATTTCTTAAACTGAACAAGTTATCATTTGAGAAAAAAGGTTTCTTTTAATAATTATTTAAGTTTACAAAGATCTTGCAACTTCTTTAAAAGCTTTTTTGTTAATCAAGGAAAGTAACATTTTCCTCACACTGTAAAAACTAAATGATCTTTACTTAAATTGACGCTAAGGACAGGATAGAGGGGAGTTTCTTTACCATCAAAAATGAGAGAAATAATTGGCACAATAAATGGGATTCCAGTGTGAAGGCAAGTTGACTGGTTGTGCAAACAATGGGTTACCTGAAATTGAGAACAAGTCTTAAGAGCAAGATTATATCATCATAGAAAAGGGAAAATATATACATGTGTATATATAGAAATAGTAAAATCAACGACGAAACATAGTTTCCATGACTCGTAGTTTCATGCTTTCACAATCATCAGACTGTGGTTATTCCAATGGAAGACATACTTTACATACAGAATGCTAATTATGCGGTGTGAAACTTAGTTCCTATAATTAGTGACACATAATTCTACTAAAAGTGAATAAAAGTTTGATAGGTAGAATTTGTTTTTGTGTATCTATATATATTTATTATTTTGAATGACTGACAACTGGTCTTGAAAATTGATGTAATGGAAATGAAAATAAAATAATCAAATTACAAAACCGTCAACAAAAAGATCATGCTGGCAAGTGATGAACAATCCAATCTGGTGCTAAGATCTCAGTGATCATTTCTCTCAAATCTTGACCTTTCCTTGTTTGTGATGATCAACAATGTCATGATCCTGAAACTGATTTATTCTAAGCCATACAAAGAGAAAGTCAATTCTGTCAATCAGTTTACAAAATCCAAATGAAAGAAAGATAGCCATGGTGAGAAAATGTCTCTTGTTAAGTGACATGGAAAGTCTTGCATGTTTTGAGAGCGGGATGGGCATTTCCAACAGTATATAAACCTGAAATGATTAACAATCCTCTTAGACAAATGTTAGCCAACATGATAACTCAGAAATGACTGTTTCAGCACATTCTGACTTCGCAAAAGAACCAGATACACTTTGATTTGGAAAGCAATGACTATATTGGTCGAAATGGATGTAAATTGAGATCAGCCCTAATTCAACCCCACTGCCAAGACTTTACATTATAATTATTGTTTTTGGAATGTTGGACATCTTAAAAAGTTACCTGTTGTTACCCATCTATCTCTCTCGAGTAAAAAAATTCACTGATCATGGAGATAAACAATAATTGCTGAACACTTGACCCTTTAACACCCATGAGTAACCAAGACAGAATTTCTCCTTACAATATCACAAAAAAAAAAAGCAGAGAAATGATAATTATCAATTAGGGGAATATTAATTGATCCAATACCAAATCCTCTTAACATCACGAGAATTGTGTAGCAAACAGTAAGGAGAATAAAATAGTGAAATCTTGGGAGTGAAAGAGTAAAAATAATTGAAGTTCATTTAGTTACCCAAGAGACCACCAAACTTTTTTCCCATTAGAAAAAGTAACGGTCACAAAAAGGACGAGGCCCACTGGAATACACCCTCAAGCATGGAAGTTTGAACAGAAGATACGAGATAAAAGCAAAAATGCTCAACTTAGTCAATCTCAACCCTGTATATGTGCTGAAAATTTCCAACAAAATAAATAAGAATGCCACAAAATTGCAGTTCATGTTTTCAGTTGAGATACTAAAATGATTGTCTTAAATTTAATGTTTTATTCGAAGCAAGCCACAGGGAAACAAGAAAATTGTCACATTAAAAAATAATCACTGACGAGATAGAAAAGAAGTCATTAGAACAAACTCTATAAAAAGTTCAAAATAAATGGTTGGATCACTTTCATAGTTATTGATTAAGGTGATCAACAGTCCTGATTTACATACCCATTGTTTATGTTACGCTTTCAGTAATTCACACAAAATTCTGCACTGTCCAATGATCTGATAACATCACTATCAAAACTCAACTGAAGAAGTCGCACAAAAGATTCTTCAAAGCATGAACTGTCAATCACCTTAAATACTCATTGTTCCAAATAAGCTTAACTAGATTAAAATGTTTCACTATTTTAACTAAAGATTCTTCTTCTTTTTGTGCAATGTATCAAGCCGTCATGGAATAGTAACAGACCCAAGATCTGCTTCAATATTAAAGTCCATCTCTTTTCATTATAAAATTCACCCAACTTTCTACAAAAGGTTCCAACATCTTTATCATTATACTACTGATTTATTGGTTATGAGCCAAATGTTGAGGGAGGCAAATATCATTTCTGTCTTGCCACTGGCGGCTGCTTCTTCTTCTTTCTCCTTTTGAAAAAGCAACAACACCTACGAAAACAAAAGAAAATGTCAAAAGAAGCCCTTCTTCCATTTCTTCATTTGTCCACACTTTCTCCGTACCACCCTTTCAACCAGTTATATTTGAGCAAACCTCGCACGATTCAGGCTAAATTTCTACTGTGTGCAAGACTAGGACTGAAGCTTCGACAATCAAATCTCTTTAAAATAGACACCTCCATCAGAAAGGTGCTCTTTGTTCAGATTTGAACTACAATATTGCTCACCAACTTTTCTTAGTGATGCTCCAAATGAAGAAACTCAAGGACTTTTTACAATCCACAATGTGGATACTGGAGTAAAGCATTGATCTAACACATTATAAGAAATTTAAGTACATACTTTGTTTCCTCAACAACTTCAACTTCAGGTTGCTGTTGTGCATGTATTGGGGTAACAACCTTCTCATGCCTACTATCATCGGGACCCAGGTCCCCATTTGTTGAACTGACCACCTGTACTGAGCCTCCTAATCTGTCTGCAGTTGGCGCCAGTAGTCCAGCAGACTTCAGAGCTTGTGAATTGTCAGCCCAGGCACCTTTTCTGTCTTGAGCAGACTACAAGATAGACCACATATTAATTAAGTCAACAATCTTCTCCACACCAAATGTTTATATGCCAAAGTTTTGCTTGGTTTTTTTTTTTTTTTTTCATCATTTAAACTCTAAGATATAATCTCATTCTGAAATACTAAATTAGTATCTACACAAAACCAACAAAGAATTGCATACTGCTATCCATTGTACAAATCACTTCTATTATGAGATGGGAAGGGTTTAGTCTTACAAGCCCTTGTGATGGTTGCTTTCACTTGGTTTCTATTGCATGATGTAACAAGCACCTTGCCAGATTTTTCTGACAGTTTCAAGTGTCTTGCCGGAGACCTGGGCTTTAAAATCCAGGCCCCTTTCATCTTCAGTCCAGGGGCTGTCCAAAGACTTGGTTACAAGGGCCCAAAACCACATTTTAGCAAAGAGGGCACTTGGAGAGCACTGTCAACCCTTTGAGCAACAGGGTCATAAAACAGACATTTTATTATACCTTGTTTGTTACAGAAGTGGAAGTAAGTCTCTCATTTCCTTTCTGATATCCAGGAGGAAGCTGAGAATCTCTTTGATTGTGTTGATCTGAGTGGCTCAGAGAATTAATCGGGCTAGGCTATGGAATGTCAAATTAAAAAAAATATTTAGGGTGCGACAATCATTGTATCAGAACAAGAAATCAGTCACTTGTGCTAACTGACACTTCTAACTATATCAGAAAAAGTTATGTACATGGTTGTTATTACCAGTACTAAAATAGCCAAATTAGACATTCAAAGATCATGGCTATGTCGTCTAAGCAAACTCTCCCAATTATTGGCAATTGAATCTTCCATATGCAGAGGTCCGTTCAAGATTTTGTTATCATTTATCATTTTAAAATAAATTACATTATTTTACAAAGTTTTACAACTGAGCTCTTACAATTTGCTTGTGCGTCCAATCAAACTCTCCATCGTCAACATAGCCTTTTTTGTCAAAGAGATCCTTGAACAACTTTCTTAAATACTCATAGTCTGGAGTTTCAAAAAAATCAAGTCTACGAACATAGCGCAGGTATGTGGCAAGCTCCTCTGTGGTTAAAAGAAAAACAGTTTGAAATTAATAAAAGATGCCACCCAAATGCTGTCAGGCAATCTTTATGAATGTTAAAAAAAAAAAGAAGAAAACAATATTTTTACAGATGAAACCTGTTAAGAGAAAAAAAAAAACATTTAGGAAAAGTACTCACAAGGAGTAGTCAAAGTTGCGACATGAATGAAGCTATAGGAAAGTAACTGGGGAAACAATTGCAATTTACTAAAAATCTATGATTCAGAAGGAACACAACAACAACTGTTTCTAATGTTTCCATTATTTTGTGCCAAAAGATTCAAAGGGGATGCACAATATCTACCTGGATGATTCTCACATAGGACTTCAATGGGTGTTGCACGTTTTGTGTCCCCAATCTTTTGATATCTCTCTTTCAGGGTGTCTGCCTGTAAACAAAATTTTAATTCATTAGGGCATTTATTTTCTTCTATTAAGGAATATGATAAAATGCTAGTATAAAGGATTAAAAAAAAAAAAGATGAAACCTCAAAGTATGGAAAAAAAATGAGCAACAAGTATAATTCAGAGTTAGCTTACTTTGAGTCCTTGCCATGGCAGACTTCCTCTAAGAAAATACATGAACATGTGCCCTAGAGCTTCTAAGTCATCTCTCCTACTTTGCTCTGAAAACAAGTTATGCAGGAAATATGCAACTGGAAATTTAACAAATCTTTCTGATAACACTTTCTCTTCTACTTTGCTCTGAAGTATGGTCCACAACCATTATGATAACTACAAACCTACTTCATCCTCCTATACAATTCATGTGGTTGTGAACAAAAAATGACTTTGAAAAGTAACAATCTACCACAGACTGTTTTTTAAGATTTTTGTTAGATAACTTTACTTTGTAAATTCCCACTTGGCAATATATTTCATAACGGCACTGAATACACAACACCTGTTCCTGACATTAACAGATACAAAAGACAAAGGCCATAAAAAGCAGATCCAATACACATGTAGCAATAGTTTTCCTGAGCACAACTAGGATTTTATCCCCAAACATCGAATATGAAGTCTGTTGGATACAGCATGGAGTATACTGCAGCAGTCAGTAAAATAAACCTTGATATTGGAAACAGTTCTATACAACCCTAAAACCCATGGAAAAGAAAATTAATACCCACATGCTAGAAACCTTAGTTTAGCATGTCTGAACTTAAACATTAATCCATAGCACTTCAAGAGTCATAATTATCCACTATGCTACAAACTAGCTCTTTCCTCAAACTCGAACCACAATAGGGTTCAAAATCAAAGAATACCTTTTCCTAAATGTGTGTTAATACTCATGTATCTTGCTGTTCCAGTTAGACTTTTGTGTTCTCGATAGGGTATATGCTTCTTGGTCTCTGGATCAATAAACTCCTTGGCAAGACCAAAGTCTATTATGTGAATTGTTTTCTCTTTGCCTGAGGATTTCCGGCCAATAAGGAAATTTTCGGGTTTAATGTCCCTGTAGATCATATTCTTCGAATGTACACATTCAAGCCTTGAAATCTATAAAGTAAAAGGAGTGACCTGTATTAGAATGTACTCTGTACATCACTCTTGTAAATGTATTTGACTCTGTCAAGTACACATGCTTGCCACATTAAACTTGGAAAGGAGATTTACTGTCAACTGAAATAGAATTGAAAATCCAAGATAACTTGCAGTTTAAAAAGATGAACAAAACAAACAAAACAGTAGCACTTAACCTCAAGCTAACAAAATAGCTGACACAGACTGTAAGTTATACCTTTCTGGCTCAAGCTACTGGTAACTGATTTAAGACAAAAGTAAAACATAAACCCAGGATAAAACAAAGGCAATCCAGTTTACACTGTATGCATTTTTCTTTGGCTTGCCTGAGGCACTTTGAAATTGGAGGACTACTTTCCAGGTAAATAAAAGTTTGATTCAACAAGATAGTTGTCTCCCAAAAGAAATTTCCCTTCACACAAGCTGTAAATTTTCTTGGTCTCTTGCTCGATGGGCAAACCCTCTATCAGCCCCCATTTTCATAATTTTTTATGGATAATTATGTTGGATTACTGGCTTTTATCCAGCAGTGATTTCCCATTCATTGGGCAGTGTTCTCTTCAAGCTTTACAAATATCCTTTCAAAACTGTCACTTACCAACTGAATGGCAATCATTAGCACTGTCTTCAAGCTAAACTGTCTGTTACAGAGGTCAAACAAATCCTCTAAGCTTGGTCCTAATAGTTCCATGACTAATGCATTGTACTTTCCACATGGCCCAAAGTAGTGTACCTGAGGTACTCCCTCTGCAAACGATTAAAATAAACTGGAGTTTCAAGCTGCATTGATTTTTTTTTTTGGTACAGATAGGGGTCACTGCCAACAGTAACCATCATTTAACTGTGTTCATTTTAATGTATTCCATTCCTTATAAAAATGTTTATACTCTGAGTAAATACTATGCCTCAAACAGGTTTTTTTCAATTAATACCTGGTTATACCAAAACCGAAAAGTCAAACAAAAGACATGAACCCAGGTTTCGGTCAAGGTTTTTGAGTCCACAAGCATCAGAAAAGCAGAGAGCATTAGACGTTAAGTTCTACATTCTTTTTGTCAGCTGACTGACTTGCTGACAGAAAAAAGCCAGTAAAAACCTTTTAAAAGGACACACGATAGTTGTTTATGAAATTTACAACTACACTTCTTGACATCAAATAACCTTAATACTCCTACTCGTGAAATCCCAAAATGACAACCACACAACAAACAATGATACCTTGTGTGACAAACCACAGAGGTACCACCCTAAAGTTTGCTAATATAATAAATTTGATGCATTGTCTGCTTAATATACAATATGTATTTTGTAGTCTAAATAACTGATACCCTGAAGCATTTAAACCCAAATATGTCCCCCAATATACACATTCTTCACCAACATGGTATACACATTATTTACAAACACAGTAAAGATGAAATACCATAAAAGTAAACTCCTATGCAGTACAATTTGCACACGGTGTATGGTAAACTTATGAGTTTTAAAAGTTCTCTATTACACTTTTAAATTTTGTGTAAAGGCTGTATTGCATACATGTATACCATTTGATATGAAATAAATCATTATAGTGATAGAAAACCATGGTTTAAAACTCCAATTCACAGGAGGAAATACAACAAGCTTTAAACAGCTGCATCCACTTTACAATTTCCCCACCTTGATAAAGTAAATAACATCATCTTTCTACAATAAATATCTTGCAATTTCCTTGTTGCAAAATAGTGTAGACAAACTGACTACAGTTAACAAGTCTTTTTATGAAAAGTATTAATGAGGACAAACACATGAAAAATGGTAATAAACTATGATTGAGTCTGCCTAATAAAATCCCCTGCACACCATGAATTACTTTAACAAAATTATTACCCCAAACCAACTCCATTTTGCTATCCATTAATAACAAGTTATTACACATAGATTGCAATCAAGACAAGAACTTTGGAATCATTTCAAACTTGAAACCCACAATTTTATAACTATTTCCATCATTCTTAATCATTACATCATAAGTGTATAGTTATATAATTTCAACATTTGTTACTAGTTTCAAAACACAGTAAGACGATCATTTCAACAACATTAGGGTTTGTAGATAATATTTTGTAACACAGCTTATCTGAATAAGTATATTCAAATTGGCTAAAATGTCATTTAGTATAAAGGAAATAAAATTAATGTTGAATATAAAAATATTACAAGCACCCAACTAAAGCGGCAATGAATCAAGGTGAATGTTTCATACATGCTTTTAAAAAGTAGCACGATCTTATTTAACATGTAAAACCATGTGGATACCCCCCAAGAGACAAACAGTACTAGTACTAAGTCCTTTATCAAGAACTAAAATGAAACCGTCTTTACCATGGCATTTAAAATTCAAAACTGGATTCAGCAGAAAAACAATTCTAAGTAAACAGCAGAGGTTAGCATACTCACCACTCTTTTATATAACCCTTACTTAGTACATTTGAGAATTGTTCGGCAGATCAGACAATTTACCATGATCTCTCCACCAAAACAATTCCCACAAGTGAAAAAAAATAAAAGTACTGAATAAAAACAACCAATAGAAGCAACAATTTTGAATTTCTCTGTGTCAAATGTTTTGTTCATCTCTACAGACATCTGTAAGAAGATGAAGATGAAGTGAAGTTATTGAGAATTTTGTGTCCAAGTCAATACAAATCATTTTTGCATCTGCAGGAAGGGAAAATGCAGCTGCCACCAAGCATCCCACACTCTCAACTACTGAACCTATAAGCAGGGTTAAGTTTTTGCAAAGCAACCATTTTCTTTGTTCCATCAGCTTTGGAGATGATTGAAAAAGTCAAAGTGCTCTTGCATTTGATCTATATATCATGGAAATGCTTTGTTTTCACTAGCAATTTGACCACACATTATTGTTCATTTCTCACAAATTTCAAAACAAGCCCACAGGAATATTAAAATACCCCTCTAAACTGAATCTTGAAATTTAGAACAAACTGCTTCGGATGGAAGCAAACTGTTTGGACATCCTTTGGGTAGGGACAGTGTGACTGATCCTGCCTTCTAATCTTTGTTTATAAAATGCAAGAATGGCCAAATAGGGATAACAGTATTTGTTGATTTTCACCTGCTGAGAGACATTTGGTTTGAAGTTGTAAGGTAGCTTGTTGCACCAAGATATAATTGACTAAGACTAGCTCTGATGGTGAAGAAAATATTAAAAAATGGTGTAGGAAAAAACTAATTAAAAAAAAGGCTCATTCAACACATTAACCAAGTGTCAAGTTTGGATGAGAAAAAGTTATCTATAAATTGAGTCAAAACATTGGAAAATTTAATAACTCTTTGTGTGTCACCCCCAACACAGCTAAGACTTCAAATTCGTATAAGCTACAATCACAAAGTTATCATCACAAAGACCATGTTATTTACACACATTTTATCAAACGCATCTCAAATGAAGACGACCAATGAAAGAGCAACTTTTCGAGAAAGCCAAAAATTAGAGTACCCAAAAAGTCACATAATTGTCAAATTATTAATGACAATATTGTCCTCGATGATTAAAAATTTTCAACATAAATCTATGTTTCACCTATCTGAGTTTTCTAACGCCAGATCCGAATTAGTATACTACAATTTGTTTATCCTAACCTCCATATCTTAAATTGAAATTACAACAATGAATTCAAACGTATTTTGCCCGCACTTGTTTCCAAACAGCCTTAGACGATTAACATGCAAAAGGAGTATTTAAATGTGCTTTTCTTGAAAGAGCGAGATTTCATTATCGCGGTTGGGTACTGCGTTACAATCCACATGATTGATAAGAAACTCTTTTTATTCCAAAATACACAAAGGATAAAGTAACATAGCGAAAATCGGACCGAAATACTATTCCTACGGATTAGACCGTTTCAGGAATAAAATTGGAGACAATGTTTAACCTTGATCATATAGGAAGCTTTTTCTCTCCTCTATTCGTCGCTTATTGCAGAAACTAAAATATACTAGGATTAAGATTATTTAGAAACTTTTACACTCCAGTAATCCCCTTGGAGAGATAGATTTTGGTAACCGACGGGTCATGTAACATTTTGGAATATCACAGTAAACTTGATGCAAGATTCCCTCGAAGATACGTGAAAATTCAAACTGAAATAGTTGAGTTGTAAAGAAGAAATAATTAAAAAAGTAAAAAGTAAACGTGGCTTAATGTGTAATGCTTGGCTGTCGCTTATGATCAACGGCCTATCCAAGATAAATACAATGGATCACTCTATATATTTAGCACTTCCTGCAGGCCGCAATCAACTTCTAACGCAACAAAGCTAAAAGCTCTCTACCGTTTTCACTGGCCATTCAGAATGAACTTACCGGCATTTCCGAGTACTTTGTAAAATCGGTATTCCAGATGAAGTTGTGGTGCTCTAGATTTCATGGGTTCCTACCAAATAAAAAATTTCAACAATCGGCCTCAGCTAGAGGTAATATATCCTACACACTTCATCAAGATATCTTCGCACCTAGCAAAAAAAGTTAAGTCAGGAGCGACTTACCAGTTTGATGGCGACATGCTCATTGTTGTATAGGTTTTTCCCTAGTCAAAAGAGAGTCAATAAGTGAGTAATCTTAATAATTCTATGATAAAACAAGGAGCAAGTTAACCGTTTAAAAGGCATAGTTTATACATAACAAATCGTCTAAAATATGGTTGCCCGCTCAGGTTCGTACCAAGTCGGAGTTCACCGAAGTTTCCACATCCAATCTTCTTGCCGACGCGAAAATTCGGTCCCACCATCATCACGCCAGAACCAGACCCAGAACTATTCCTTGGCGAGTGTAAGCTTCCTCGGGAGGGCCGAGAAGCTTTCCTATCCCGTTCACGGTCGCTCTCCCTTTCTCGTTTGGACTGCATATCGACGACCGCCGTGATATCCCTGATCTAGGTTGCCGCCGATGTGATGTCTAAATTCTCTTTCCAATCCGACTGGAAAGCCATAAACGATAACTCATTCTGTCCTTAACACAACTCCGACCACTACATTTCAAAACTAAGAACTCCAAACCGTCAAAAAGGCGACAAAAAAACTACGACAACCTCAGCTTTAGAGAATTTCTCAGACTCACTTCTGTTAGCTGTAGAAAAGTTATTGAACACGCAAGAGCAACGAGCATGCATTGCGAGCCGTGAACCCAGGTCGCCTGACCTTCGGGTGGGCGTTGTCCCTTAGCAACCTTTGTTCTTTATTCCCAAACCTAAACAAAACAGACTACGTTTTTCAATAGAAATGTTCATTTGTACCTTTACCAAAGGATTTTAGAAATATGTTTGAGCAAGAAAAATCGATGCGTTCCTCGTCCACATATTTTGAAATGATTTTCCCGTGAATACTGTACCATACCTTGAAAATCGAGCCCTAATATTCCTATTAAGATCTATTTTTCAATGACATATTTAATTAGATACTAAATTTCAGCGATATTCAGAGGGAGACAAAATAAAACCATTTACGTTTAGCTGGCTAAACAATTTAAACTGAACAGGCGTGTCCATTTGATTTGAATGCCGTAATAGAGGAACTCCACAAATTTGGATCATCGCGTCGGTCAACAAAGAGAACACAAATAAATGGTACAGTTGAGTGTGTTCATTTATGAATGTTTTTTACGATACCATTCATGTTATTGATATTAGTTCGTAAAAAGACATGAGAACAGTACTGTCAATTAATACAATTCATTGATCAACGATCCAGTTAAGTGAAAGAATCCTAATTACTAGCGGTAGCTCAGAAAAGGCTCCGTTCAGACTGACTAATTGAATTCAGTTAATTGTTTATTTAGCTTCGCCTAATTTCTTAGGAAGTGAGACCACAACAGCCTAGCCAATTACAGTGGATCCCTCGTTATCAGAATCAAGGCCAGACCACAACACCGAGAGCTATGTTCCCTACTCTTTGCTATAAGTGTGTGGGTTCTTAAACGTCCCCTGCTAACCAGCCTGATAGCGAAGATGCAGGAGACTGGGCCTACGGTTTTGTTTCCTTATCCGAGAAGACTACAATTCTAACCGTTTATAGGTGTCATAGCAAAGGCAGCACATTCTCTTAGTTGTTTGGACTCTGAGTGTTAGTCCGATCTGAGGCTTGAACCCTCGACCTCCCGCACGACATAGCACGGCGCTCTACAACATGAGCTAACCAGGCGGCGGTTTAAGCGTTCTATATCGCGGGCTCTTCGGTCTCCCCCCCACCCCTTCCCCCTTACTAATCCTCTTGATCCTTCTGGGATCCTGGAAAAAACTGTTTAAGACTTGAACAGCAAAAGAAGGAATCGCAATTCTAGACTTTTTGGCACCTACTGATAACATCCATTATGAACCATGTATTTTTTTGTCCTCCTTTTAAGACTCACACTTGAGGCTTGCAATCAACAGAGGATCAACTGTCTTAGGATGCTTGAGATCCGGATTGATTCGTTCATAAACCTGCATATATATTTTAATAAGGAAATACTGCATTATGGCCCCAAATAGTTTATCAGAGGAGATCTGGGAACAAGTATGAAAATAGGCGGGAAAATGTGGTCAGCGGTGATAAGCAACAAAACAAATTGCACTTTTGGGACAATTTTCCGTTGGAAGCATCGTCTTCTCCAGTTTTTTAATTAATTTTGTTGTGATAACAAAAGAGGTTCTGATGCGCCAGTAATGGATGTCACATAAAGTGTCGTCTCTTAAGGTTTCCAGCCACTTTAAAACAATGTAAATCATGTGAAATGGCAACGAGTGATTGGAGTTCAACGAACACGGACGGTGGAGTTTCTGCAACCCGGTCGCTTTCTCCCATAGCTGTGTCGACAGGCTCTCCTCAAGACAGCGGGAATAGTTCACCGCATTCTCCAGTATTCGCTCAAGATGTAAGTGTCCACAAGATCATCTCTGTCTCAGTAAAATTTCATTTTCTCCGCAGGCTGTTCAGCACGTAATTATAAGTGATTTTGAACGCTAGCGGCGTTTCATGATCGTGTCGATTTCCTTGTGTCAATTTCAGTGATGCTTTTGTTCATGGCAGCTTAAGTGTTACCCTTATTTCGATTTATGTCTGGTCTAATAGCTATTATTCTGGCATAGAACTCTCAAAAGCGAAGACATCTATTTCGTCTGCTCTTTGATTAATTATATGTTTTCTCCAGTATAGCAGATCGGCTTTGGATTTTGCTTCCGCAACCGAATTAAGAACAATATTTGGTTATGGAATTTATTTTCATAGATTCCGATATCCGATCATGAATCGCTGTTTAATTAATTTTGCTCAATAGTATTATGATTTAACATCCTTGTTTTCAAAATTAAACGGATAATCGCCCAGCACAATGACAAAGAAAGTGCCGAAGTTTTGTTTTCAATACTCTCCAACTTACGAAGGTGTCATGCACCTGCAGTCTTCCTTCTACATACATAAATTTGAAATTTGTTTTAATTTTCTTGTTTTAGAAATTATGCGATTCACAGTGTAAGAATTATATGTTACCTTAAAACTGTAACCAATTCTCTTTCAAGGTTCTCTATTGAATTGTAAAACAACTTATTTGTTGTTTAAGAACAGATAGATGGGCCAGTTTGTACATTACAATCCTTTGATAACTATATTGTTCTTTTACTTTCATAAGTTAACTGTTCTGAGGTTTTCCTTTTGGAGTTTGCTTCAAACAGTTTTCAGTTGAATGTGTATCAGTTCAATGTGTAACATTTAAGTGAGACCCAGTTGCCTAATGGTCAGTGCACTGGATTCCGCATGGATGTCTGCGTTCAAAGCCTGATCAGGTTGTGTTGTGTTTGTAGGAAAAGCGCTCTACTTTCACAGTGCCTCTCTCCCCCCTTGAGCATGACAGGATGGAAACTGTGCGCACTAAAGGTACCTTCTGTTATCCCTCACAAATCTTCAGAAAAGCTTTCTAAGGATTTATGAAGGATAACAGGAAGTACTTACAGTGCACATGGTTTTAATTCTGTCATGATAGAAGGTACTGGTGAATAATCAGTGCAGTCTGATGAAATGCTGGGGGATAACCTTGTTGATGGCATTCTATTTGGAGAGGGAGCAGGATTAGCTCCAGCAGGATGAGCCACTTGGCTAAAGTACAGACTTTACCTACTTACGTGCATAACATTTAAAGATTTGAACCGATCAAGATTTTAAACTATACAATTTTTAAAAAAGTGTGTAAAATCTGTAGTAAAACTTCTTGAAGTGTCAATTTAGAAGAGTTTTAAGGTCTCTGTCTCCATATTCACAGAAAAGGTGTCTGCAGAGTATGTAGTTTGCGTAGTAAAGGTTTCACCAAAGTTCCATATTGTTTTCAGAGCATCGACCAGACTGAAGACATGAATGAGACATCAAAGGAAAAAAGCCATGTGGCTGAATATGAAAAAGAAATTCAAGAACTGAGAGGGCAAATTCACAAATTGCAGGAGGCTGGAAATATCAAGGATTATTCTGGTAGAAGAACACTTCATTAACCAGTCAGAATCTTCTCCACTTTGTGATTTTTTTCTGTACCTTTATTTAAGGCTCTGATAGGACTTAAAAGTTATTTTGTGACATTATTTGAAGATAACATTTTCCATCAAAAAACTTGTGCTCTCCTGTCTTGGTATAGATTCCACTGAGCTCAGACGAAAACTTGCCAGAATTGAGGAGGAACATGCAGAAAAAATCAGAGAATCTAATGAAGAGGTATTGAGAGATTGACTGAAATATGACTTGACATATTTGTATGCAGATGGCAATAGTTGGAAAAATAGCTTTGAGATTTGATAAATATCAACTGAAGGCATAGGATTGTATTTCTATTAATCATAAAAATTACAATTTCCTTGTTTGTGATTTGTTAAAAAAAACTCCTATTTTTCACTAATTCACCTGCCATGTTGTTATCGGACAGATTGTTATCCAACAACTCAATAAGCCAATCACATTCAAAGTTGTAGTTTAATCAACCAATCACATTCAAATTTTGATAGTAGTCAATTTCAGAGCAACATTCAACAATTTACACCTCCTTTGTCAGTCTTTTAATGCAAATTTTTCTTTTCTTTTGTAAATTGGCCATTCCTCTTTTCTTGGAAATTGTAATTTTTAGGATTTATTGCTAATAAGGCTGTGTTGTCCAATTCGTATAATAAACTTAGATGAGACACATTTAAAAATACTAAATACCAGAGAAAAAAATATCTGGTAAACAAAATGTTATATTTAGGCAGTTATCTACTGCGAGGATCAAATACCGCAGTTCAAAATATATGAACTTCATATATTTCATTATATCTGATTCACTTTCACGGGTTTATTACGAATCAACATAACGGCCTGCTCCCAGTTGGCTTGTTGGCTCAATTGGTAGAGCGCTGCACTAGTATCGCAGAGGTCAGTGGTTCGAATCCCGTACAGGCCTGATCTTTTCCAGGTCTGATTTTCACTATTGCTTAAATAGCGCTATCTACTGCGAGGATCGTGCAT